ATAAAAATGTATTAAGTCATTTGCAAACGGCTTAACATGCTTTAAAACGGTATTTTATTGCATTCTAAATTCAGTTGTACTAATTTCACTTTTAGTTGGGGAATACATTTTCTAATCAAAAATGCGGATACTTGTGTCAAACATCTAGGTCATTGAGAAATGTTTATCCCAACTTTCTTTTTTTGCTTGAAAGAGTGAAAAACCATGTTAACCATGTAACCGTATTAACCATATCCTGGACGTATTTCTATTTTCATTCAATGAATATTAATTAAAGAGGATCTGCCAATTAGACAAAATGAGGTTGTTTTTTAAAGTCTGCTCAAAATATTTATGAATGATTGACACGTCTATTGAACTGTCAAATACAATACAATCCGTGTCCATTTCTAAAAATCACATAGCCAATAGTAGCCAGAAAAAGCAGAAATTAGACAGTAGTCATATTTGTGATGTGTTGAATCCCTCCTATGGGGTCATCTTTGGCCGAGGGTTAAGGCAAGTTAGACGCTTACTTTCCTCGTTCGTATGCCATAAACGTATAGAAAAACTAGAGGTGTCTTCGTCACACATATTTGCTAAATCCTGAAGATAAAATTTATACATTGCACGTTTTTTTTTCCCTTCTCTTACCCTTCAGAGGTTTTGAAAGGCAGATTTAATAATTTTCAAAACTGAGCACATGTTGGTGATGAGACAGCAGGTGTGTGCCCAGTAAAAGTAAGAACACAAGAGAATGTTTGCTATTCGCAGAGACCCACATGCCATGGTGTTGTAAACATTTTCACAGGAAGATTTCATGGTCATCATGAGTGATGACAACATTATATCTTATCTGAGATGGCGGGTGAGGTTATTTTGAATTTATTTTAACATTTGAATTGTTCTGTTATTAACAAATTGTTGATACATTATGAAACTGACTCTTGTGTATACATTCATTTTTACTTTCATATTCTTTTGGAGGAAAACAGTCCTGAATCAAATGAATATTGTGAATAAGTACTTCACGACTACTTTTAAAAACAAATACCCTTCTTAGTATGTATTCCTCTGTGATTTTTTTAAAATATAATTTAGTGAAATAAAATCACAATACCAGAGTAGATAATGTAGTGTCTTACTTAATTCATGTTAAATCTGAGTGCAAGAATACATATGGTATTAATTAAAGGAAAGTAATATATTTATGTGCATCAACATATCATTGAAATGCTTCTCATTACTTTGTAGTGGACTCTTATGCAAGTACGCAAAAGAATCTTGTCTGAAAATTGATTGGACTTGTATTTAGAACTAGCAACACCAGACTTAAAAGGAACTTTACAATTTGACACTTCTGTGCTGATTCTGTCTCTCAACACCTGGTCCCACTTTATTCCTCTGGGCTCAAGAGACATTGGATATCTTTCAACTGAACCAAATATGTCACCCTGTGTATTTCAAACCTCAGAGAAACAGGTGACTCTTTCATAACAGCAACTTCCATTTCACATGTGGGTGTGGATGATGAACAGAGGAATCCAGTCAGAAACAAAGCTCTATTGATGCCTTTGTTCAGCACATCTATTTCCTAATTCACAACTAATAATGTTAACTCAGGTTTGGAATTTTAAAAGCTGGATCCATTGTGTAACACTTAGGAATGACTGGTCAGTGTGTTTGTTAAAGTCTCTCTATGATATTTATACATTTTTTTCCTTTACTTTAGCTGCCTGTAAAACTGTTCTATTCACATCATCCACTTTGCAAACAGTTAATATCTAGTTGTAGTTTTCTGTAAAAAAGAAAAATTTAGTAAATAATAGGATTTAATACACTGGACCAAATGGTCACAGAATGCCTTTCAACAACATTTGTACTAACAAAGCTGATTATTCAACCATTGCAGAGTGGAAAAGATTTGGGGAAGCTCACAAAGACTCACAAAGTATGAAAACAAGTTGTCAGCGTCTCTTGACTCATTCTCTATCTCCAACATGCAGCACTGCATTTTGGGCTTGTGCTGCTGGATTGTATCAAATGATGATGGCATTCCCTGCAAGTCATTAGTGGGGCCCCAAGCTGTGAAACATGTCCTTATATAAGGCTGTGTGTCTTTGCATGCAAGTGTTTGTGCAACCAGAAACAATGACTGAGTCCTGGTCTTGTGTTTTTCTCATCTTCAAGTATTACACAGCTAATCAGTCACAGCCCCATGTGTCAAAATAAGACGTGTCCTCATTTCTTTACCCATTTATGTGAAGTATATAATAATAAAACTCAATTTGCTGGAAGATAAAGATCAAGTCCCTAGGACTTAAGTAGTGCATTAAAATATTCATTAGATTTGTTTATTGGTATCCAATAAATATGGTTTGCAATAATTTTTTTTAGCTTAGATTATGCCATTTACATTCAGCTAATGTTACTCTGCAAGTGGACTCAAGTATGTTGGCAGCATTGTCAAAAAAAGTAAGTATATTTTCAGCTGTCCATAACCAACACAGAAATAAGTGCCTATCACTACATAGGCATGGGCCAGTGAGAGATTTTTTATGGCTTCATAACCTTCAATATAATAACACAGCACCTCCCCCTCTCTCTCTATCTCTCTCTCTCTGACTGGTGATGTTACTTTTGCTTAAAGCTGACACTATCCTGCATTAATCTGTAGAAAATATATTAAAGTCTATTTTTTAAGTTTTAAAGTAAGAGGGGAAGGTGTAGCAGGATTTCATCAACCAGCTGAAAGCAGTGCGTAGCAGCAGGTGGGGAAAGGATGGGTTACTCTATGTATTATACAGCCAGAGAAAGGGATCATTCATTGGAATGAGGTCATGTCTGAAGGATAATCCTTGATTTTTTTGATAGACTACAAGACTGCTTGATTCATGAACATGAATTTAACATAAAATATAAGTAACAAAGGAGATCCTCTCCAATAACCATTGATTGAGTGTCCCATTTGTCATACTGCCACTTCAGATGACGTCTCAAGCATCTTGGAAAATGTTAAAAGCATTTTTTTGCAGTGCTTTTTAATCTTTGTAATTCAAGACATTGTCACATCACAGATGTCCTTGATGGACTTATAGCTGAGAACATTTATGAATTCAAGCTGTGGGGAAAAAAGCAGCACTGAGAAGCAAATGCCTTACATAACAATCTCATTAAATCACTCCCCATCAATAACGCTGAGTGTTTCATCTCACATCTCAATAGAAAACCTTATTTAAGAGCAAAAAGAACCTGATAACATTGTGGACCTGTAGCTCATTATGAAGCAATGTGTAATTAGTTTCAGAAAAAATTTCTTTACACAAATCGGGATCCATTGGAAATAATGGCTAGGTCTGTTCAAGGTGTCACTGGTTGTGGAGATGAAGAGAACCATGAATAGTGAATTGCATCAGATGTGATGAGAAGGGCATTAAGGCGTTGCCACACAAATGACACACATCTTAAATTGGTGACAAGCCTGAGCGAACTGAAGTGCCGGAATATCAGTAAGTTTATTAAAGTTTTTCATTCTGATCTTCCCTCCTTTTTCTCGCATTTGGTGGTTTTACTCCCCCTGTGTCATTTGATGATCACTTATTGCAAGAAGTGTGAACAAGAAACAGCGTCTTTTACGGCAGCATGGCCTCGGACACTGCATCCCCCTTGGACGGACTGTGCTGAAACTGAATTCACCCTCGGGGATTAATAAAGTATAATTATATTGAAAAAAGGGCTTTGTTTTTCACATTTTATATTTAATTTAAACTAAAACAAAATCGTTCCACTGTGTTATTTCACAGGAAGTCTAGAATAGTTTCAGTATGGCATCAAAGAGTATTTATTTGATGCCAAAAAAAGACATATAAAAAAATAAAAAATATTCTCATTAAAACAAATATTTTTTATGATGCCAATAAAAAGAAATAAATAATCTTTGAAATTAAATTACACTTTCCAAGATTTCTGGTAATTAAAGATACCTTTTTTAAAACCTTTTTTTCTCCTAAATTTAAAGCTATTAATTCAATCATGCCAATGTGGGATTCAAACACTTTGACTTTGCATTCATCTTAGGTGTTGGCTCAAGAGCTTGATTCAAGACCTGAGTGAAAACACTGGAGACTACTGCTGTAAATAATATCCCTTTTTCATTGGCTGAAAAACCCGTTTAAACCAGGGAACAATCTGCTTTTAGTGGCAGTGGGAGCGGCTCACATGTTGCTCTCCATTGTTAACTTTCCTGATTTCTGTCACACTAGTGACATCATCAATGCTAACCCCTTGTGATAGCGTCACCAGAAACGCAGCAGTGGGGGGGCAGAGGCCACGGGGTTCAGGCGCAGCTTTTTTTGCAAATGGGAAGGAAGCCAAATGCTTAAGTGTTTAACTTTCATCGTTTTTAAAGATTTTGAAAACAGTGTTTTTAGCGCAGATATTTGTCCGACAGCTTAGAATAGAATAGAATACAAAATCTCTTTATTGTACCACAATGGTAAAATTCTGGTGTTTACAGCAGCAAAAAGATTAAATGTGGAGCTTAGAAAAGTGTATAAGAATATATAAGAATAACATAATAGTAAAGAGTTAAAAAATAAACAAATTAAATACTGTACTGTAAAATGTTTTAACATTATAAATACTGTGCACCTGGAGAATAAATATCCAATATACAGCTATGGACATTTGTACAGTAATGGATATTTAATTATAGCAGCAACATCAAAGATGTGCAAAATGACAGCAGCTTGTTATTTAACTAACGAAGGTAGAAACTGTGCGAAATCAGTAAGAATGTAACAACTTATTTAGGTTGTTAGGAACAGTGATGGTTATAATGTTTTACAGCTGCTTCTATTCTATTCTAGTCTTATTTTACTGTTTCAGCTTCACTTGCGAATTGTAAGCTGATGCCAACATCTGTTCATCACCCATGGATATTAATATTTAAACACATTTTGTGTGAGAAAAAAAAAGAATTACCCCCAAAAATGAAAAAATCATTTTCAGCATACACTCACTTGAGCGTGGTCATTTCTGTGAGAGAAGGCTGTGTGGCCTTCAGGTAGCTAGCTCGCCGTGCTTGGACCTTGGGCGAGGGTTTCGGGCTGCAATCTGAGTCACCACTATCCTCCTCTGCCATTGCCTTGATATAGCTGCCGCTGCGCATTCGCCGGCATGGGATCTCATCATCCTTCCCCAGTGGAGAAAAGCCGCTCCAGTCATCCTGAGGCACCTGCAGACATGAGGTAAGAAGAAAAAAGAAAAAGAGAGGAAAAAAAATTATTCCCACAAACAGATCCACAAAGGATCCAACAAGACTAGAATATATTCCAACCAGCCTTTCTTGATCCTACCATTAACCTCACAATGCCAATGGCCTTCTTTTGTCTGTCCCATGATGCATGCTGCATATCAAGCATGGGAAAATTAATCGTTTTGACAGAATACTGCTGTAAACCCTGGCCTCTGCCTGCTCTCCTGGCTTTTCACACTCATTAATGAAGGTGAAAAAAATAAAAGGAAAACCCATCTCCTAGCTGGTATAATCTAAAGGAGAGTGAGTCAAAGATAGCAGAGATGGAAAAAGGAGGGGAAAAACAAAGGGGAGTTTGTTCAGCACAACCACCGCACTCCCAAAGTGAGTGGCTTTTAGGGCACCAGCTATGAAGTGAAAGAAATGAGATACAGGGTGAAGAAAAAAGTGAACGATTCAATGGACAACTGCATAGCTAGGAAACAGAGCTGAGCTTAATGTCAGGGGCAACTACAGAGAGGTAAAGGTAGGTAAAGAAATGCGTAAAACATAATTTGTCAAATAAATAAAAACATGCTTAAATAATTTTTTCCCCTTTTTTCATTCAACAGAATATAACATTTGCAAGATGTTCTTTTAAACCTTTTTGTTATAAACAAGCTGGAATGGTGCAGTTTTGTATTAAAAACAAAAACCAAATCCGAACCTCTTCAGTAAACATGGAAAGCTCTTACTAAGTACCTAGATACACTATGAAGACAGAAAAAGCGTTTTGTGTCTGGAAGAATTGTTGCCTCGGAGTGACAACATCCTTTCTTGATCGGCTCAGTTGGCTTTCCAGGATGTTAAAATGCATGACCAGACAGAACACTGCCTTTTGCTTTCTCCTACTCTGCCCTTTTCATGCTTTTCTCTGCTGTCCTCATTTACTCCTCGTCTTCTATCTTGTACGGTAATGTTCACACACACATAGACCCTGTAAGTTTCCTGACACTTTCTGCCCTTTTTCTCACATGTTTTGGAATATATTTTTACTCTCCATAAAATTCAACGTCTAGAAAAAGTATTCACACCCTTTGAACATGAAACATTATTGTATCTTGTCATTTTATTCTTGATTTTACTGATAGCACAAGAACAAAGTAGTCCAAATTTCCAGAAACAAAGTACAATTATACACTGCTTTTGAAATTTTTGAAAATGAAAATCTACTTTTGCATTCTGTACCCTTTATGTAAGTGTAGGTGATAAATTTAACATATTGGTCTGTGGTGGGCTTGGGCCGCCATTCCTCAAATACCACCACCCCCAAAATCAAAACATCAAAAACTTGTCTAAGAAAACAGCCTTCTAAGGTTCCTTTTTAGGAAGGATATGGCTTGTGTACATCATGTAATCTTAGCAGAATCACATGAGAACCTAAAAGTAAAGCATGTGAGAACTTTAGCGAATAGCAGCATCATAATAAAGATGATATTCAAGGAACATCCAAGATAGGTAAGGAAGAATGCTGTCAAATTTAAAGCAGTGTTTAGAATCTAAAACATATTTTCTAAAACTGAAATAATGAGACAGCTGTAGACTTACCAGATCTGGCCATCCACCTACACTGACTGAGCAAAAAGATCATCAATCAATAAAAGACTATCGCCATGGTAATTCTAGATAAGCTACACAAGCACAAAAAATAATCTGACTTCCATGGAAAATGGCAACAGAAATCTATAAAACACAAATAAAACCCTAACATATCACCCTTATTTCCCTGTCCCTATAGTAAAACAAAGTGGGGACAGCATCAGACTTTTTTTAAGCAGGACAGGATAAATGCTGAAAAATTAATCCAGTTGTGATGGAGGTTCCCTTTTAGCAGCAAAAAGTCCATAAATACATTTCCATAGGTACAATGAAATTGTTAAGTTTAGGGTATATTTAGTTGAGCTGCAATCTGACTGAGCTCAAGATATCAGCAAGGAAAATGGGGAAAATAAATCTGACTCTAGATGCATAAAGGTAGTAGGGACATACTCTAATAGTTACAGTTAACATAGTTAGCTATGCCCACAAAATATTGACTGAAGGGCTCTGAATGCAAAGACACAAATTATTATAAGTTTCTCCAATGTAAATCAGTTCATTTTCCATTAATTTCATGCATATGATGAAAAATGGGTATTTAACCTATTAAAGACACATTTCAGAGGGATGAATACTTTTTTTGCACTCAAAACCTGGAAAACTAAAGTCTAGAAGATATGTGTGACACTGCAATGCTGTAGTGTCACTATGCATGTTTCTCTGTGTTATTCTGTGACCAGTGAGCTTAGGGACTAGGGCAATTTTCTTTTAGCTTCTGACTGATAAACTCTCTCTCTCTCTCTCAAATTACAGTGGCACCACACTGAGTGAAATAAGCAAACTCATGACTGCTTGTATGACCAGAGCAAGCAGGATCTTGTCAGCAAAATAAATGTAGTTTGACATGGCAGTGTGCCACTCAGAACAGCTAACACTTGTACAAATTTCTACCATGTGCTACATGCTGGAAAAAATGTGCAAGGCACCATTTGAGCCTGTTGCATATATCACTATCAAAGGGTTCAGCTTGAAAATTTCCATTTCCTAATCCTTTCAGAGGATATTTCGCCTCTCATCCAACAGGCTTCCTCAGTTCTAACTTTTGATGGTGAGCAACTTTTCAAGCCTAACCATGTTCTGGATGACTGAGAATCTTTACTGATATATTACCATGAAAGATTATTTTTCTATCATAGACATGTCCAAGCATAAACACTTATGAACTCACACATAAAAGACATTAAATGCAGACAAACACAAAAGAGGAGATGCCATGGTATGCTTCTTTCAGAATGTTTTATGAACATACAAAGGACTACAACAAAAGACAAATGATCAAGGTCTGACAGGATGAATCAACCATTCAGCTCATTCAGACATACATAAGGAAATGCATATTCATGCGGGTAGCAAAAACTGAAACATGGAGAACCAACTGGTCCCAGATAACATATGAAGCATGACATGCAAGAGGTGGGGCTGATGTATCAGTCCTACCTGGAGGAAATGGCAAGTGCGTCCCTGCTCGGCTTTGACAAGAGCTTTATCTAGATTGACGGAGGCCTTTTGGTACACCTCCCTTGCTCTGCTCACTGTCAGCGTGGATGACCATGAGCTCTTCTTAAGTTGGACTGGTCCATCAAGGCCACTCATCAATGGCAGAACTCCACTGCTGGCCCCCGAGCATGCTGAGCACTTCACGTCATTGTTGCTGCGCGACGTCTTGAGTGACTGGGTGCTGATGGTGTTGTAGGACTCCATGAAGTATTGTGACTGGGATTTGTCCGGGTGACGTCCTATTGTCATGACTCCTGAGGGCATGGAACCTACTCCCCCCCCCTGATGGTGATGGTAGAGACACACTTCTCTGTCAAGCGTGTCATCCGAGCTCCAATACCCTGATGTGGATGTACGCATTTTGGGTTCTGACTTGGAGCGGTCTTTGCTCTTATTGCGCTTGCTGTGCTTCAGGGTGCCAGAGCATGAGGGAGGATCATCTGGACTGGATTTGCTGCCATTCATCTTTCCATTCCCGCTTCCTCCAGAGCCTGAGGGCCCCTCCAGAGAGTGGGACTTGGTGAAAAGCTTTTGCACAGAATGAACAAGGTGTCGAATTCGACCAGGGCTGTCACTGCGTTGGTGCTCTAATGCTGTATGCTTGTATTGCAGTGTGTGGTAACCTTCACGTCTCAATGGAGCTTGGGTCTCAAACTGCTCGAGCAAGTTTGATGGGATACGGTTATTGTTCACTCCACTTCCCTTACAGCTCCCTGTAGGCCCAGTATAAGGCACCACGGCACTGCATTCATCCTTCAATTCATGGTGGGAACTGTAATGTCTGCGAGGGAAAGTGCAACTGGTCAGGTCAGGATAGGCACTGCACTCAGTCTGGAAGGCGCTCCGCTGGGTATAGCAGGGGTTTTCAGCAGGATGAGCATCCCCTTGTTTGAGGATGTAGGTCCGTCGGTCGGCATGCCCCAGCGTCATGGAGTCATAAGATGGATCGCAGGTCACTGTGTGGTGACTGCGACTGCTGGACAGACCTTTCATGGTCATGGTGGCGAGGCTTGCTTGTGCACCCAACTGCTTCTGCAGAAAGTCTGCACAGGCCTCGAATCTAGCTCTACAAAAATAAAATTAAAAAAATGCATTGACAAAACAAAATCAACAAAGAGGAAGAGAAAAAAGAGAAAAGAGTTATAAATATATAGATATTGATTCTTCAAAATCTATAGCATGACTGTTGCTTAACTGCAGGAGAATAGACCTTGTGTTTATTCAAGATTTTTCACCTTTTATTCAAAAGGTACCTTCACCTGACCATTTGAGAGGTGAAATGCCTTGAAGAACAATAGGTCTAGTTACCTACAGATACTGTAAGTGCAAAACAAATCAAGTTGCATTCTACTTAAAGCGCCTGTCACACCTTGCCGATTTAGACAGCGTATGCCTGATGCACGAAAAATCTAGCAAAAACCCTGGCATACGTTTGATAAGTTATGGGTATGTTTTGTATAAGTTATGAGCATACTGAAGTATGGTGAAACATGCTGAAACACGTCGACACAAAGCAAGTACTTTGGGAAAATTTGAGAATGCCCAAAATTTCCTGACATATGCCAGCGTATGCTCATTACTGGGCCATAAGTTACAGGTAAGTTATCTGATCATTGACATATGTTAAATGTAAGTTATTCATAAGCGGTGGTGTCTAGCTCATCCAAAACCTATCAGTGACCTTTGCAAAACTTATGTTTTATCTCCAACGCATATCAACGTATTTGACGTGTTCCAGACGAATGTGTTTCTAACTTACAGCTGCTGTATAATGGCATATTGGCAGCGTTGTGGTATAAGAGGGAGTTCACAGGAGGAAACCATCAGTAATCCTCTAGACTTCATCCTCATAATAGGGTGAGTGAGTAGGTGAGAGTGATGGATCCTCCCTGTGTTCAGGCCCACGCCCACGACCAACAAATTTCCTAGCAGACATGATGCTGAATCTGCTGTGACTGCAAACCTTGTTTCTTTGTTTTTCTTTATTCTATTTTTCTGGTGGGTGGTAAACAGCAGCTAGATTAATACAGTGATCAAAGAAATCTTTTTATGCAGGCCGGGCACCTAATGGTGCATCGCTGCCCCCCTCTGGACACTGGCCTGTGCATCATTTCATGGGCATTATGCTGCCATGCATTTTGCATAAGTTAGGCTGTGGTTGGACATATGCTCTGGACTCGTTATGAATATGCTATGTATACACCCAAAATTGAAAAAAGAATACATAGAAAGTTTAGCATATGCAGGGGCAGATTTACCATTAGGCAAATCTAGGCAGTTACCTAGGGCCCCAAGTTCCTGGGGCACCATAAAACTCTTTTTACATGTATGGTTAATACAACTATTTCTTATTTGTGCACATTATGTTTTTGATAAAATATACTTTTCATTAAAATGCCATCAGAACACTTATACTATTAAGTGTGTCTCCCCTTTCAGTGTCCACCACATTGGATCAGTTCATCCCAAAGGTCCAAACAGAACACAGCAAACCATTTGAAAACAAACGGCGGGAAGAGCAGTGTTGCCAACTTAGCGCTTAAGTTGTAGTTTTAGTAGCTTTATTTAGTGACTTTTCAGACCCCTCTATCACTTTTATTTCAAAAATGTGCCTAGCACCAAATCTAGTGACTTTTTTTCTGCTACTGGAGACTTTGGCAACCACATATAAAAGCACCAAACTCTGCTCTCCATAGCAAGTAGATTCGTAACCTGCCTCCAGCTCTCCTCGTTCTTGTCTGCTGTCATGATTAATGCAGCTATTATTTCATATTGAAAAATGGAAAACAGATAGGCAGACCATGAATTGTCTACAGTGAAAAGAAGGACTGTGTTATTTACTTTTGCTGTTGCCTTTCTGGAAACACAGGAAGGAGCAATTAGCTTAGTGAGAATGGGCTACGTGATTGAAAAAAAAAAATCTTTCATTCCTTTTGAGACAGCATTAAAAGTCTGCTGAGTATATTACAATATGAAAAGTAAAGGGACAAAAGAAAACAGAGAGGAAAACAGCAAGATAAGGACATCAGATAAAGATAAGACAGGGACAAAAGGTAGAACAAATAATGAATGTCTATTCTATAAAAAAAATTCAGTATATGTATAATGGGTCTGTTTAATATGTTGTCTTCCCATTTAAAAAGGGCCCATGCCTGTCTTTGCCTAGGGGCAAAAATTTCCTAAATCCGCCCCTGAGTGTATGCCAGCGTTTTAGGAGATTCTGGGAAGTCAAGCATACGCTGGTTAAATCGGCAAGATGTGACAGGGCCCTAAGCTCCAATGAGAACAAATTTGAAACATTTTCAAACACAACACAATATATGTCTGCTTCAATTTAAAAAAGTTCTTTAAATCTTGAACTTTTTTTTTAGTTAGTATTTTATCTCTCTCCCTTTAAACCTCAAATGTAAGAAGTCTAAATACAGAAGCAACAGAACAAAGCCACTAATACCCATATCTGTTACCAAGCTTCCTTCTACATTTTGTTTCCATTTGCGTTTGCATTTACCATGAACCAATGAAGAAGAGGAACAAAGAGATGTGTTTCTGTTCAAGCACACCAACAGATTATTAATTTAACCTAACATAAAAAAGACAATGAAGTCCCTGATAATACAGACCATGGCTGTAATTAAATTGACAAAGTATATGCCAGAATAGTTCATCTCTTGTTTATCAAAAAGAAAAAAATACTTTCTTCATAAGAAAACACATTATTTTAGTTAAAATCCAATAAGAAGGCAGTTGATATTTCAAAACCTCTGACACTATTACAATCATATGACTTCCGATAATATTAAGAAATATCCCTGTAACTTTGAGGAATGTGGAGATAATGGTTCTCAAATCTATAGAAGCCATATTGTTTACAGAAAGCTTTAAACAAATCCTTTTTAAAATAAATCAACATTTGATGAGGCTGAATAAAATTGTTTTCTTTATGTGTAAGATGTTATGTCAAGTGGAAACCAATTCTGCACAGTACCCTGAACTAACATGGTAATGCATGGTGGTGCCAGCATTCTGTAGTGGGAATGTTTTCTTTGGAGAAAGACAACCTAGTAAGAACTGACTGGAAGGTGAATGGAGCTAAATAAGCTCAGTGAAAACTATATAGGCAGCACACCACTTGTTGCGTACTGCATACCTAAGAAAACATGTTGTCACCCATCTCACAGTTTAAAGGTTGAAAATGTTTTGAGCTTAGCACTGTCAGAGGAAAAAGAAAAGATTTTCTTATGAACTAATTTCAGTAGTAATGACATTTACAAAACAATTTATAAGAAGATCACATTAACAGAGGGATGATACTGGATATGTTACGCAATGAGTAAATAAGACAGCAATGGCACAGAATGAATCAGCAATACAATATGACTGTTGGTTTTTACTAAAGCTGCCGAGGCTACCAAGTTGATGGGTGCAGTGTTATGGTCTCATTAGGTTAGATGCACATGCAAAGTGAGCCAACCATCACAACATCTGCAGCACTTTTGCTGCAATAAAAAATGCATTGAGATCACATTCTGCTGAGGCTGACAGGGGTTCAAGAAGACAGAAGCAGATAAAGACGTACCCTGGCATACCTGCCTACACTATTTTAGACATTGAAAAATAATTCAAGCAGATCTGCAAAAAAAAAAAACACAAAAAATTTGTTTCTCTTGACTAAAGCATGGTGATCTGGCACTCCAAATTATTACTGATTGTGTAAACTTCAGGTAATGTGGATTTTGTGTCTCTCTACCTTTCTTCCTTATTCTAGAATATCTGAAAAGACTTTGGATCACAGAGCGGCAGTCCAGTTACTTCACTCTTCTGCCAGAGTATAATTCTTCTGTCGTCTTTATTCATTAGTAGCGAATTGACACAAGGAATGAAACACTAATATCTTAGCATAGGATTTATCTATACCTAATAGTTCTTGATAAATTGACTCCAGCCTCTGTTCCGTACATCAAAATTTCCCCAAAATTCTAGATAGATTTTTCATGACAATCCTATTAAGGGTTATTTATTATAATTGCTGACGAAACACTTTCTTCTACTCAGCTTCATATGAATATGCTATAATCTTTTCTAAACCACTGAATATTGGATTCCCTGTCCTTAACCCACAAAATTGTATTTTGCTCTGTATGTGAAGAATTTGTATATAGAGTTGTTAGTTAATGACAATAACAGTTTTACTTTTTTAGGATATTCCTATTTTTGAGTTTCAGTTGTAAATTGGATCCATTTGATTACACAATATCCCAACATTGTCTCTCAGTTAAAATTAGGATTTATAATTTTTCCAAAAACGTGTCGTCTCCTGACAGGTATGGTCTTCTACTACTTTAGGTGTCTTCAGTTTCAACCAAATTTGCAATCAGAGGTAGTTTTCTTTATACTTTTTTGTAAGCAGTGATTGAGTGATTCTATCTTTTAAAACCACTCTCCCTCTGTCCTCCGACATTAACAAGTACTTTTGCTACAGTAATGTCTTTCACTGGATATTTTCACTTTTGTAGGACATTATCTGAAAACCTTAGAAATTATTCTGATGCTAAAAAAAAAATCAGGCAGTAAATCCAGATTTTCAAAATGACTAAGACCAAAAGAAACATGTCATGTTCAGTGTAATTTAAACTCCGTTGATGAATTCATAAATGATGTCCAAACTGCACATCCCCTGTAAAGCTTCTTTCAAACTTCCGCAAGTTATGCTCAACACGCCGTCTTGTGCAATATCAACATAGAGGAAGTAGTTCATGATATATATTGATGCTTTAACCATTCATCATTTTGTTTGTCTCCAACAAAATCATCCTTTCTGTAAAAATAAGAACAAAAAAACACTGTATTCATGGTCACTAGACCCGAGCAAAGGATTGGTTGACTTAAATTAGCCGGAAAAGCTTGCAAACACTACCCAGTGTTTCAAGCTTTTAATCCAGGCCTTTTCATCATAAAAAGGATGTAAAATCTGGGTCAAAAAGTGCATTTATTTTTAGGCTTACAGTACACTTGCTCTGTGTTGATTCACAGACACCACTTTTATCTATAAACATTCATTTTACACAA